TTTACTTGAAAAACTAGAAAATCTAATATTTTCTAACTAGTGAGCAAACCGAACTAGTGATAATACTTTTAATGTCCAAGATACATTTTGATACTGATGCTTTATTCTATCCACACATTCTATTGTAACAAAGTCAAATTTATTCAAAGACAAAATGTCAATACTATTATAGAAATGCTGCATTGCTTTTCTACCACAGAAGCAAAAAATACTTTAGAAATCTACTTGATTCCACACTATACGTGGCATACCCTATTTGCAGACAAAAAGGGAATTTCAGAATTAGACTTGACGCCTTCTCCAGATGGAACCATGAGCCTGCAAGCAGGTACTAGGACATTTTTTCCAAACTGCAATGGGGCCGCTCCGGCTCCCAGGCAACCTCTGATTCCGGAAGTCATGCCCATAACCCGCCCCCCAGTGCCATCCTACAGCAAACAGCAACAAAGAAGAAAACCGGCTGGAGGGCCCCACAGCTCCCAGAGAATGCTCCAGGTCCCAAACAGAGCCGATATCACTGGGAGGTCTCAGATGGGGTAGGTGCTGCATCCTGCCTTCTCCAGATGGAACCCCGGTGACCATGAGCCTGCAAGCGGGTACCAAGACATTCTTTCCAAACCACGAGGCCACTCATGCAGCTGCATGACATCTCCTTATATACCAAGTGATCAATGGAAAGTAAATCACCCAACGTTTCTCCCTGAAAATCAGACTTAACTCTTTTGCAAACCACAACACCCAAAAGGAGAAAGAGAACAGAGGGGAATGCCCTGTCACAGAGGCAGTGTGGGATGGGGGGGATGGGGGGTGGGAGGGATGCTGGGATCCATGGTGGTGGGAAATGACACTGGTGGAGGGATGGGTATTCAAAATAAATAAATAAAAATAAATAAATAAAAGAATTAGACTTCATAGATCTGTTATGTTACCTAATTAATCCATTTATTAATCTGAAGAAAATATTGTTCTCAATCTCTAAAAAGTACTATGTATCTCTAAGACTTTAATAATTTTTTGTTTATTTTGGGGCTCCACCCGGAGATTCTCTGAGGTTACTCCTGGCTCTGCACTCAGGAATTGCTCCTGACTATACCTTCAGGGAGCATATGGGATGCCAGGGTTCAAACCCAGGTAGGCCATGTGCAGGTTAAATGCCCTACCTGCTATTTCTCTAACCCATCAGGCTTTAACAATTTAATGCAGCTCAAAATGATTAGGTATGTGATGTACCTACCAAAAGACACAAGTAGAAGTCAACGTAAGGGCTGGAGAGATAGCTCAATGGGCGAGAGCACATGCACTGCAGACAGAAAGCCAGGGTTAGATTGGGCTTTAATCAGTTCCCCACAGAACCCCCAAACAAAGAGTCAGAAGTATTATCCTACTAGGTATAGCTCCAAATAAAAAATGGGTTGGGGACGGGGAGATAATATAGCAGGTAAAGTGCTTGTCTTGCATGCAGTCAACCCAGGTTTAATCACTGGCACCCCATATGGCCCCTGAGTACTGCCCGGAGTGATTCCTGAGCAGAGCCAGGAGTAAGCCCCGAGCACTGCTAGATGTGGCTGTTAAAAAAAATGAAACAAAACAACAACAAAAATCGGTTAAGTAATTAAAATCAATGCATTCTCAAAATCATGACATGTTTCACTGCAAAACATAGTTCATAAAGCAACTATGAACTAATTATTTCATTGGCAAAGATACAACGTCCCAATGCAAATAGATTTTCCCATTGTCACCTGCGCAGTATGTAGGTTTGCCAACAGATAAGTAAGACTTTTCCCCTCAATTTAATAAGCTCAGAAACAAAGCAATGTGAAAAGAAGCACAGGGAAAATAAAACAAACTAACTACACTTACTTCAGCTGGTGAATGTGTGAACAAATTACAGGGCAGCACATAAGGGAATATAGGTGTTCATATTACTTGATAGTCAAAAAAGAATGAATTATACATTACTATTTGCAGGAATCATGTTGGTTCTTATTTATGAGCAAATACAGCCGGACACTCCTCTTTCCCCACTTCCCAAAACAGCATCTAGTATAAATTTTTTTTTTTTTTAGAAATAGTAAAAAAAATGCAAACATATCTAGCTTTGTCAAAGGCGGGCATTTAGACGTTGCATAGAAACAGCAGCCAGAGGGAATGTGAGAGGGCAAGAAAAAATTTTCAGTGATGCTTCACCATTGCACATGTAAAGGACATGCAAGTATGCACTTTAAATCTGTACAGTTAGTAGTCCTCTGCTCAGTGAAAAAATACCAGGCCATCAGAAGGAAAAGGGACGAAGATGGATGGAAAAAATGAATAGACAGGTCCTTTTTGGTATTAAAATGACATTGGAATTTCCATGAAGGAAATTGTGATAATTCTTAAATCTTAAAATATAAAATACATGTTCAGTTTACTGTACTGTATCTCAAATGAAGTTGCTTTGAAAGAGAAATGACCATATATATGTATATATATATATACATATATTTATATACACATATATATTCATCTGGCCTAGTAAGTTGTATTTAGACAATCCTCTTCTTCAAGCGTTTCATGTACTAAAAAGTCATGGAACCGCAGTACCTTTCCCCTTCATGATTTGTATGCATAAACAAAACCTTAACAACCTAAAGATTTAGTAACCAAAAAAGGTACAATAGCTAATGTTTACGTAGCTGTGACTGGCACTGTTTTAAGCACTTTTCTGTAAAAATTTACCCTGACCCCCACATAAACCCAATTTAACAGGTAACTGATGGACAAGTGTTAAGTGATCTGCTCAAGGTCAGAAAACTTGAGGCACTGGGGTTTGAACACAAGGAGTTCAACCATACAATTCATTTCCTTGCACACTATACCTGGTACGCAGAATATAATACCAGTGTGTGGAAATCAAAAGCTATGAATATTGCATTTATAAAATCCCTTTCTGCACATTTACTGATTTCCATTTTGTGATACTCACGAGGCCATAATAAAATACTAAAAACAGAACTTTGATTCTTTTCCCAATTCTTAGAGGCAGAAAGGAGACAAAAAGGCCAAACAATCTGCTTAGCAAAGAATAAATGGGGGCTGGAGTGATAGCACTGCAGGTAGGCGTTTGCCTTGCATGCAGCCGACCCGGGTTAGATTCCCAGCATCCCATATGGTCCCCCGAGCACTGCCAGGAGCGATTCCTGAGTGCATGAGCCAGGAGTAACCCCTGTGCATCGCTGGGTATGACCCCCCCCAAAAAAAAGAATGAATGGCAAGTTATTTGCCATAAATTAATCCATCACAAAAGATGGATTACTGCAAAGTTGGTTCACACATTCCCAATTCAATTATCTTCAATGCCTTTAAAATGTTATTTTAAGAAAAGCAGAAAAGGAATAAACATACAGCAAGGGTGCAAAGCAAAAAGTCATTTTGTTATTTCTCAAATACTTTACAGGTTTAGAGTCTCGCTTCCTAAACAGAGGGTATGTACGCCACATAACTTAAGGGGTGGAGGAAGTGGGGTGGAGGGGGAGTCCTTCAAATATTTGGCAATCTTTGTGAAAGATTTCCGAAAGTTCAATAACCAAAAATTAATTCAAAATCAACTATTGGTGAATTCCAGGTGTTTCTGGCAGCCGTCACTCATGTTGCAATGCATTTTCTAAAACTGCATTTATTTTTTCAAGTCTCCCAGGTAATTTTCATGAGCAACCAAAGCCGAGAACTTTGGAAGATAGATGAAAGCAAAGATTTGGAAACCACGGTCCAAGATTCTCCAAGTCAATAGTTAAACTATTGAATTTAGCAGGCCTGAGTTCAACTTCTAACAAAGTATAAGTAAAATCAAGCACACAAGGTACAAAACGATGTCAAAACAGAAGTCAAAGAAGAAAATAATGTACTGATAAATTCTCCAACTTTTTTTAAGGTTGCCTGCAGTGCTCAGGACTGAACTCAGACTGTGTGTTCAGAGTTTACTCAACAGCTGTAGGTGCCAGGGATCTAACTGGGGGGCCCAAAGTGTGCAAGACAAGCGCCTTGATCTAGGTTACTATGTCTCCAGCCCCTTGTTCAACTGTTTAGAATGCAAAATCAGAATCCTGATGTCATTCATGTTCTTGGTCTAAAAGCAAAGAAAAAGTGCCCTATCCATCACATTCAAAACACGGGATGACAATACACCGTGAATCTGTTTATGAAGCACAGGTAGAAAAGAGACTGGCATTATTTCAAATCCATGCCTTGATTCCGCACTCCATAAATTCTAAAGTGCATTTCTTGGAGAAAATTATGATTAGGTGGCTTGGGATGAAGTCTCAAACTCCCAGATGTTGCTGACGTTGCTAATACATACACCGCAATTAAAGCAGCAAGACCCTGACTCCCTAGAATATTGGTTTTAAGATTACAAAATTGGCCAACCAATACGATTATGTCTACGATCTAAGGGAAAAAAAGACTCCAAACAATATACTAATTTACTAACCGAAGAAAAAAGGGAAACTGGCAAGACAAGAGGAAGGAGTACCAAAATAGTTGTTTGCTTGCAAGTCTGGTTGGGCTTAAAACCATTGAGTACTGTTAAAAACCTTGCAGCTGTCGAAGTGGTTAAAAAAAACCAGAAAGATGTTTTGTTTCCTGCTAAATCTTTCTGGCCTAGCACATATTAGGTACTCAATAAAAACACTTAATGGATGAATAAATGAGATGTATTTACAAAGACCACCAAAAATGTTTGAGAAGGGGACTTCATTTGCATATATGAACGCAGACAGCAACAGTCTGGTACAAAATACCTTAGCACACCCATTATACTGCATTTCTTTTTTTGTTACAAAAGAGGCATCCTGCATCCTTCTGTATAACTGTCTAATTCTGAAAACAGTGGAGAAAAGTAGAAGCACAAGAGAAAGGTTCAAAAATCAAAGAAAAATAATAAGGGGAGAGCATATGGGCGATACAGTTCAGCTGAGGTTAAGGAATATCTTAGGTTGTCGGGAACTCCAGGTTCTTACCTATGATGGTGGCAGAGTTTGGGCTCGGATTTTTATTTGTTTTTGTTACTGTCCAGGGTGGTCACGGAGGTGTAGTACGTGGCTGTGGAAACTCAAAACTATACAGCTGGCTCTCCAGCCAACCTTCAGAGATTTGGGGGGATTCTAGCTCCTGGTTGATTTTCCCCTGGCCAAGGTTTCCCCGCGCGATGTCAAACGCAGCAGCCTCCCGAACATTAAAACCTTATGGGCAATTTCGCCCGCCGTCGGCTTGAAGCCACGCCAGGAGTTAAGATGGCCGCAGAACACTTAGGCAAGAAGCTTGCAACTGCCCAAAAGAAATATGGCCTCCGCCTAAAAGTACCGCGTCTTTCAAGGTCCACCCCGAACAAAAATGGCGGCGAAGACGGATTCATTCGAGGCGGGAACGAGTTAGACATGATTGACAGGGAGCGAATCACGGCTTTCCACACTACTGTGGTTTTCAAAAGGAAAAATAGAACATAGCCTTTGCGTACTGCTCGACAACGGGAAATGATGGCACAAGCCTAAAAAGCGTTTTCGATGAGGAAAACTATCGCAAAGACATTAATAGGCGATCTTTCACAACGCCCGATGAACTTTCAAACGAACCCTATTTAAATGTAACTTCCCCCGTAAATCTAGCACAAAGTTAAAGTTTAGTCGCTCAACTGGGACGCTAATGTGGAAACTTAGGAAGATTTAAGACTAGGATCAACCAAGAGCGCAGTAATGTGCAAGGGAGGGAGGAGTTGAGCGGACCCCCACCCCCCATCCTTTTGCCACTGCGCATGTCCTCTTTCCGGCTCCGAATTGGCGGGGAAGCGGGGACGCAGAGAGGAAACTGAACTTTTCCGGGTTTTTCAGGCAACCGGAAAAGAAGGCGGGGAATTGGTAGTGACAGTCAGACTATGGCGCATCTCGATTGGCTGATCTTTAGGCCCCGCCCAGATGAGTGTTTCACCTCCCCTCGAGAACTGTGGCTTAGGCGGGCGCTCAGGCCCCTCTAAGCATCCCATTGGCTCGGCTCCCCGACTGGCTGAGAGGAAAGCGGATAAGCTCCGCCCTCTCCCTCTTCCCGTAGCGGCTGGAAAACCCGGACTGGCGTTCGGCGGGAGCCGCGCATGCTCCCTCCCCTCGCGCCCAGCGCGCCGGCCCTCAGGACCCCAGCGACTCCCGCGTCACCTTAGCCTCCGGGACCGGCTCCTGGCGCCGCCACGCGAGCCTCAGTGGCTGCTGGGCAGGTAAGCGCGCCGGGCGGACGGAGAGAGGGGCCGGTTTCCCCCGCCACACACACACCGCCCTAAGAGGTCACCGGCGTCCTCCCTGAAGGATGTTTAGGGGCGGGGACGGAGCTGGGACCGGCTCCTCGGGAAGGTTCTGAGCGACCTTTATTTTTCAGGTTGTGTTCTTTCCTCCGCGGTGCCAGGGACCAAGCTCGGGGGCCTCCTCCGTGCGAGGCTGGCGCTCCGCCACGGAGCCGCTTCTCGTGACGTCGTTGGAGGTAAGCGGGGGAGAGGGGGTGCGGGGGGGGGGGACCTGGCTCACAGCACGGGGTCTGGGGTTTCGCGGGATCATGGAGCTGCACCGCCGAGAGCCACTTCCCAGCACAGGCCGAGGTGGCCCAGAACCGGAGAAGAATGTCGTAGGCTAGTGCGAAGTTGCTGGCGGAGGGGATCAGCCTGGCGAGGTATTGGAGACCGCCACGCAGACCATCGCGCTCGCCCCCCTGCCCGGCCACGGTAGGAAGGAGCTGGAAAGGTGCTGGAGGGCATCGGCGGTGCCACCTTCTAGCTGGAACCTTTGGCCCCACAGCCACGCCTCCCTCAGGGGTGGGGCCCCGTGGCATCTATCTTGGTTCCCCCCCACACACACGTGACCTCGGTGTGCTGGGACCCTCAGGCTCCAAAGGAGTCAGGATCTTTTTTGTTTTGGTGGAGTTTTGGGGGGTTTTTTTGGGGGGGCGGGGGTCACTCCTGGCTCTGCACTCAGGAGTTACTCCTGGAGGTGCTCAGGGGACCATATGGGATGCTGGGGGTCGAACCCAGGTCTGCCGCGTGCAGAGCAAAAGCCCTGTGCTATCGCTTATCGCTCCAGCCCCAGGTCAGGATCCTTTTGAGAAAGAGGAGATCTCCGGAGGTTACTTTCTCTCCCCAATAGGGGACCAGATCCAAATTCTGTGGCTATTAGACAAGGGGCTGCATTTTCGATCGCAGATTAACATGGTCAGTGGGTCTTTGTATGTTTGTGACACAGCCCAGTTTGCAGAGTGAGCAGTGACCCGTATGGCCCTGCTCCCTGACCACGTGTTGCTTTAGATCCTTCTGATAGGAGAAGCATGATGCACGTGATCAGACAGCTGGCGGGATGTTTCCAGGTTGACCTAGGATGGTTCCCAGGGAAGTAAACTTTGTGCACAGGCCTTTTATTGGTAACATGTGCAAAGTACCTAATTCATACAGGTTATCTTCATCACTGAAAGCATGTTATCTTTAATACAAATCCTAAGTGAAAACAGACTGGACTGTTATCCCCTACTCTTTCCACTAGTGTTTCTAATGTTTATAACTTTAAAAACTGGGAAATACTATAAAGTCTGATCCATATAATGTTTACAACATTTCGAGCTTATCTAAGAGATAGTGGTAAGGCAAAGAGGTGTTTGTTACCACTTATGATTTGTATTTTATTTGTATTATTCTATCTTTTGAGGGAGGGTCACACCCTGCATTGCTCAGGGCTTTATTTTTGGCTCTGCATTCAGGGATTGCTCCTGGCAGCTTTCAGGGGAGCACATCTCAGTCAGCCTCACACAAGGCAAGCAATCTACCTGCTGTACTCTCTCTCCACCCCACCCCCATTGTGGGTCTTGTCAGAAGAGAAAGGAAGTAGGATTGAACAAACTGAGCTGCAGTAAGTCCCAAGGAAACATTCATCTGCTAGTTGCACAGAAACTTTGGTGCAAGGTTGGCCCCTCAGAGTTGCTAGAGCTATAGGGATGGTGAGATGGCTCTGTGGGTGCATGCATGCTTTGCATGCTGAGTGCCCTAGGTTTCATCTGCTACATGATACTGTATGATCCCCTGGGGACCACCAGAATGACCCTCACACCCCAGCACAAAACCAGAGTAACCAAATAAACAGTTCTTAGGGCTTCATACCCCCAACTGTGACCAGTCATGAGAAGGAAGAGGGCCCACTTCAAAGACAGATCAGTCCTGGGAGGAAGCAAACAACTCATAATGGTCTCATTTCTCCCAGGAGCTGGAGAGAGAGTTTTGAATTCATCACAGCGGGCAGAGTAGCACAACAGAGCCCAGGATGCAGCTTAGTGGCAGACTACCTGCCTCACATTTCTGAGCCAGCTGGATTCCCACTGCAGAACAAATGATGACACAACGCAATGCACCACTAAAGATTTAGTTTGGAAGGTGAAAGTTAGGTTAAGAGAAAATATTAATAGTGGAGTGGGTGAAAGGGGCACAAAGTGGATTGGACACTCAGAAAAGGGCTTTCTGAGAGACCAGAGCAATAATACAGCAGGGTGCTTGCCTTGCAGGTGGCTGATTCACGTTCAACTCCATGCATCTCACATGGTCCCCCCATGTGCCCCCAGGAATAAGCCCTGGGCATTGATAGGTGTGGCCCCAAGACCAAAAAGAAAAAAAAAGCCCTCTAAATAGCTGATATATGAATCAAGACTGGAAGAATGCATAATCTGTGTAAAATAAAAGGAGTCTCACTGTTCACTGCTGGCAGTGCACTGAGAATACAATAGAAAAAACAAATCATTACTATCTTACAGCAAAGCAGTTACTGCCTTGGGGGTGATGGGCCACACCTGTGGGTGCTTAGGGGCCATGCCTGGCAGTACTCAATATCCTGAGTGGTAATGCCATGACAGGGATCAAACCAGGGTCAGCCACATACAAAGCAAATGCCAGTTTTTTTTTTCTTTTTTTAAATAGTGACTTCACTGTCACTTGTCCTCCCGTTGTTCATCGATTTGCTCGAGCAGGACCAATAACATTGTGAGACTTGTTACTGTGTTTGGCATATGGAATACATCATGGGTAACTTGCCAGGCTTTGTCGCACGGGCAAGATACTCTCAGTAGCTTGCCGGGCTCTCCAAGAGGGGTGGAAGAATCGAACTCAGCTGGGTCAGACACGTGCAAGGCAAACACCCTACCTGCTGTGCTGTAGCTAAAAATCCAGTCAGCTTAGTAAAGATTTGTAACCCATGCGGTATTTTCTTAATTTCTACAGCATTTAATATTTCATTTGCATTATGCCTTTCTATATTAAAGCAGATCTTCTCTGTGAGGATAGGTCTATCACTTCATCATTCTGGTACTGCTCTCTGTCCTTCCCACAATAGTCTTGTAGCATCCAGTAGATAATAAGTCCAGCATTTGGATAAAATTAATTTTACACTTGAAGTTAGATCAATCCTAAATGATGTGAACGTTATAAATATAACTATGTGGATCAAACTTCACAATAGTTCCCAGTTTTTTTAGTTATAACCAAGTATTACTGGAAATATTAGGTGATAATATACAGTTGCTGGGACAAACAGGTGTTTGTTTTCACTATGATTTGGATTAAAAATAATTTTTTTTTAATTAGTGAAACACCATGAGGTACAGCTGTAGACTTGCAAATTTTTGTGCTTGGGTTTCAGTTATACAATGATCAAATACCATCCCTACACCAGTGCCCATTCTCCACCACCAATGATCCCAGTGTCCCTCCCACCCCCACCCCACCCTGCCTCTGTGGCAGGGCATTCCCTTTAAAAATAAAATGTTTCTGTTGGTGAAAATAATTTGTTTGAGTTGAATACCTTCCACACACTATGTTCTATGTGTAAGCAATAAACACATAGATGGTATATAGTGACCTTCATAACATTGGCCCTTGATTTTGATGATGAAATCAGGGCAAGATCATTGGCAAATCACTAATTTGTAGTGGAGGTTAGAATTTTACCCCCATCATTATTGTTTTGTCCTTGCTCATACACGACCATCATTTCTTAGAATGCTCTTCCAAGTATCATCACACGCCAGGGCTCGTGTTTATTCATCTAGCAACTTTTTAACTCTGTTAACTGCTTCCAAAGAAATATGAAACTTTGCTGGTTTGCTTAGTCCTTACATTTCTGATTTCCTTCACAGTTAACTTTCTTGGCTCTCACTTTAGGAACTCAACTACTTCTTTATTACCACCCCAAATCTAAGTACAGATCTATCCTACTCTAGTCAAAATAGCCCCCCCCAAATCTCAACATTTTTCTTGAAAATATGGGGGTTCGTATTCCCGTATAGACTGATATTAGAGGGATGAGCAGATCCCCTTTATAGGGGTCATTTCTCTTAGTCTCAAAGCTGTAATTCGCTCCTGTTCATGCTGCACTTGTAGATTGACTCCACTTTTGGAATAATGAAAATAATGAGAGTTTACAACCATTAAAGCTAGGTACTGTCCAGATTATACTGCCATGTGAGAGGGAAGTTATTCTTTCACAGTGACTCATCCAAGGTCACCGGGCACTTGAGAAGTGGGAAGGTAGGGATTGAAAACCCAGGCCGTAAGATTCCACAGCTTCATCACTGAAGTTCTTAGGAAAGTGAGTTGCTGGGTCTTACCCTCTGTTTTTGCAAAGCATGCAAGGCATATTCTCTGACCAGGAGCTTCTCTACCTCTTTCTGACCTTGGTCTTTCCTGAGGTTCCCAGTCCTACCAGTTTGATGCCCCAGTCTCATTTAAAATATCCTGTGTGCCATGTGACCCCAGGTTGAAAATGCTGCTCTAGCCCTTAGAGCTATCTCTCCAGCCCCTGTGCTTTAACATTCTGTAGATAGGCAGAAATTGCATTGTGGAGTGCTTTTTATGTAATACTAAGATACTTAGATTTTACCGAGTTTAAAATTTTAACTTCGAGGAGGTGAAGAGATAGTAGGGGGTATAGTGGGACAATCCCAAACTGATACCCAGCACCACACATCTCTGGTTTCCCAAGCACCTCCTGGTGTGGCCAAAAGCACAAACGAAAATTTTAACTTAGAAGTCAAACAGGCTTCTGAGAAGAGCAGAAACAGATTTGTTTCTGCTGCTGATTGCAAGACAGCTATTTGGAATCTGGAGAATGGATTGGTGGAGTGAAGTTGGAGCCGTGCTTCTCAGGCTTTAGCTGTAAAGAGTTAAAGCCCAGATTCCTAGACCCCCACCCTAGAGTTTCTGATCCAGTAGATCAGGAGCTACCCGAGAAGTGTCATTTCTGCTAAATTCCTGTGTGATGCTTATGCTGCTGTTGAGGGGACCACACATTGAGAACCTCTTTTCTAGAAGGAGGGTGGTCTTATGAGGGAATAAGAATCTGAACTGTGGCTATGAAACTGGTTTTAAAGAAAATGTGTCAAGTGGCAGGAGTAGAGACTGAGGGTCTGCTTTGATAAGGAGTGATAAGAAAGGGGGCAGAGTCCATGCTTTTTATTTC